CGCACACGCGCACACGCGCACACGCGCGCACACACTCACACACTTACTTACTTACTCACTCACTTACTCACTTACTTACTTACTTACTTACTTACTTACTTACTTACTTACTTACTTAGCCAGCATGCGCAAGGAAGCTTGAAACTTAATGGCTGCCTTGGAGCAGAGCCCGTCTGGAGACCCCAGCCGGCATGAAAGCCGACGTGAACACAACATAGGAGCTCTAAGAAGTAGCAGTATTACAGTTCAACCATGTTCAATCTATAATCACAAGTGTGGAGTGGAGAACCAGAAGCTAGGTCTTATGGGGCCTGCATTCTGAGGCCCTCTGAAATGGGGATGAACAAGTAGCTGTGCATCGTCGAACCAATCCTTCTAGTAATTCTAGCGTCTTCGCAAGGAGGTGAGAGCTTAAGATTTTGCGTGTATGACATCCCTCACTCAAACGGAGTACGTAACACGTACAGTCTCGAACTCATTACTGCTTGAGTTTCCCGCGCGAACAGAAGCGAGATCACCAACAAAGGTGGGAACGTGATTTGTTGGTGGCGGCAGTACCACTACCACTATCGCCACCACTACCACTACCACTACCACTACCACTACCACTACCACTACCACAGAAAAAACAACTGCTACTTCTCCTGCGTGTTGCTCCTGCTGCTGCTGCTGCTGCTGCTGGTGCTACGACATCCACTGCCAATTGTCGCTATTACTCGAATTTTGTCCATGCTGCTGCTGGTTCTGCGGCTGCTGTTGGTACTACGTGTCAGCCACACCTGGCACCTGCTGGATGCCGTTCGCAACTAAACAGACTCCTGCTGGTGCAGGCGCTGAGAAACCTGAAGAGACTGGGCTGTGGACCATGGCCTTATTGGGCGTCTCTGATCTATCTCTTAGGCAGCGGGCTGGGGACTGGGATTCATTGTCTCAGTGGTCTGGAGGGTGGTTAAAGGCGTTTGTTGGTGCTGTGCGGCTTGGTGCCTGCATGTCGGCAGTTCTTGGGTGCACACAAGCTTGTGGGTTTCCGGATGTCGTTTCGCCACTGCAAAAGCAGATCCCCAACGTGCCCATAGCATGTTCCAACAGACTTCCATATTCTAAACCCCACACCGCAGCAGAAGCAAAGTGCGAGGTAAGACGATACCATTGACTTTACAAATGCGCATGGCATGCATACCCACTGTCTCGTGCACACATACTGTCTGCGAATGCATACCTGCTTATGCATGTCCTTCGTTCGGGGGGCCTGCAAGTAAACACCAGCATTTTTCAAGAAAATTCAATCTCGAGAATCTGGCGGCCGGGATAATCACATTTCCTTTCGGCCTATGTTGATATGAATGCGGCATCGCAAACAATACTCGGAAATTTGCGATGTGGGAGCGTGGAAGGGGCATGGAGGGCTGGATGTAATGACAGATCAGTTTAAACATGACGCGTTTGATCTGTGAAACAACGCCAAGTCCTCTTCGTCTAGCGTCAGCAGTACTAGTGGCAGTCCGCGGATTCCAGATGCCAGGTAGGCCGAGCTGTGGCTTCGAGTTTCCTTCTGCAGTTGGCCAGGCGTCGCTGCTTTCACCGTAGGCTTGGTGGCAGAGTTTTGCACCTTCCTGCCCCACGACGTGATGGAATGGACGTTGCTGACTCTCGGCAGGGATTTTCGAGCTCTTCCAAACTCAACCTGGAAAAGAATCGAACTCCCAAGTCGTGACTAGCAGGCAGTACGTCAAGTTTGTGAGATGCCTCCGGTCACGGGAAGCCTAGGAGCCCAGTCTAGCCTGGCGGCCAGCGGCATGTACCAACGGCTTGTGCTTTTACACGGCAAAAGCACAAGAACAGCAAGCACCATCGCCGTTGCAAGAAAGGCAACGATAGAGTCATCAGGAATGGGCGCTGCATGTGAAGTCATTGTAGTGGTTTCAGTAGTCCCTTTTCTCGCATGTCACTTCATTGTAGATACACGCACATAGCGAAATCGCTGTGCCTTGCGTCGCGGCTGACAGGTGACTGAGTCAGAGAGAGAGAGAGAGAGAGATGTTCTAGGACGAGTGGGCCTGCGCGGTGGTTTGTCGTTCCTCGTTCAAAGTTTTTGCATGGGCATACCTCGCAGCTGAGCTGGTTTTGCTTTTGCTGGTGCCCGTATGGACTAACTAGACCGGATATCAACCGGAAGTGCTGTGGACAGTCCCCTCATGGTGATCTTTGTGCTGTCAGCACAACTTTGACTACAATCAGGGCTTCTCCCACCACTTCATTCGTAACGAGCCTTAATTTCTTGATGTCGTGGTTTCCGATGGTTCTTTGCTAAAAAGTACGATGTCTAGTTCTCTTTTGACTACTGTTGCCGATATTGCAAGTAGTTTCTGCAGCTGTTCTGCTGCTTGCATGGCGGGCATGCTTCTTAGTCGTGACGCCGCTTAGCTTGAGACTTTAGGCTTTTTCTTCTGCGATGTGTTCGGCAGATCTCCATTGTTGGTCGCGCAGTGGCTCCCACGGATTGCTGACTCTTCCAAACTTGGCCTCCCAGCAGTGTGACATGGAGCCGCACCACCGTGGTGTTAAGAGGCCCCCGTGACATGCCTGTCACAACCCTAAACCCTAAACCCTAGAAAAAAAAACCTAAGCCCCTAAACCCTAGGCCCTAAACCCTAAATGTTTGCCCCATGCTAGAGAGAGAGAGAGAGAGAGAGAGAGAGAGAGAGAGAGAGTGGTGTGCTGACTTTGCGGACCAGGGTCCTCCGGTCTGGCTGAGCCCACAAGTCATTGCATAACCCTGCTTAAACGAGTCCGAGTGTGAGCCCCGAGCCCGAACCCGAACCCCTTATGACCGCCAAAAAAAAAGCACTCATAATTGGGTTTGTTTAAGGGTACTTCCCAAGCCCTAGAGTCCCTAGAGGGTTATGATAGTTACTGTAGGATCGCCGTCAATCGTTAGGATCAGCTTCGAGCTTGGCTCCCTCATGTTCCTGGGTGGTGGACTCATGGAGTGCCTGGAGAACGCCACTTGGCTCGGGTTCCAGGGTTTGGGCCTACCAGTAGGGCGTGGATACTGTTGATCCACCATGACTTCCCAGATAGATCTTAGATCCAGGGGCTTATCAGAGAGCAAGCAAGGGACAGAGGGGTTGAGAGTCAGAGAGAGAGAGGCGATACCAGTGTGACCACGCAAAACAACGGGTGCTGGGGACGTGAGGGTGCAAGCTAGTTAAGTACCCACGTCCTAGTGCAAGCTAGTCTCGGCTAAGAAAGCAGGAGCCAAAGATTTCAGTTCAGTCTGAGTCCGTTTCATGTTCAAGCACAATTTCGAGTATCAGCCGTAGAAGTGGCAAGGGCGACAGCACTTGCAAGCGACACTGGCGTAGTGGTTGGACGCAGAGCATGAGGCTCGTAATCGCAATCCTGTGTGCATCCTCAGATCGTGGGGGTTTGGGTCCTGAGCCCAAAGTGGAGCAATCACGGTGCTGTGGTGGTTTGGTACGCATGGTTCTTGGCATGTTAAGCTTGGAGTGTGGGGGCGAATCACGTTTGGAGCTTCGCTGAGTTTGGGCTCTAGAGAGCTCGAAAAGCCAGGCCCCCTGCCCCCGTCCTGAAGGTTTGAAAGATGAAGCTCCGGGCCATTGACAGAAAATGGACCCTTGCACCCCGCCATCTCCAACGCGCATTAACTACATCACATCACATCTTCCCTGTAGAGGCTTGCGCTAATATGTAATTTTAGCTTGGCTTGACATAGCCATGGACAGACTCCGCCGACCGGAATCCTTCGATGATGTGTCTGCAGAGGGGCTGTTCCGTGCCACCACCGTGCCGGCGATCCTCGCCAAGCAGGGAGCCATCTTCATGCAAGGTTTGCCAGGTCTCCTCGAAGCAGGTGGCCTTCACTCCGCGATGACTCCGACTAAGCAGGAGGTGCTTCAAGCAGGATCCTTCATCTTCGACTCCTCTTCCCGCGCCAACTCTCGGGTGGACGTTTTTGTAAGCCATTGCTGGAGCTCGGGCCGCTGGAAGAAGTTTCTGGCGCTGTGCCTCTACTTCAACCTGGCAGCAGCTGTCCTCTGCTCCCTGACCGCCTGGCTTCTGGCGATAGCGGGCATGATCGCCTACGCGCATGGAGAACCCGGAAAGCTTGGGGGCAACCACCTCTTGCTGCCCATCTTGGTTCACTTTCCGATCGTGGTTTTTCTCGTGGTCTTGATTTTCGGCCAGCATGCTGTGCATTGCTTGCGGCCCATATCGATGTGGGTGGACCGGGCATGCATTCACCAGACAGACCTCGACTTCAAGCATCGTCAGATCCAAGCGCTCCCTGTCTTCGTCGCACGGTCCTCCTCCATGGTGGTGCTTTGGGATGATGAATACTTCAGTGATCGCAGTGGCCATGGAGCGGGCCAACAGGCGCGGCAAAGTCCTCGTTGACAACTTGCCGATCGTGCTGCGCATGAAGGGAGGCCAAGCAAGGTGTGAGAAAGGCGATTCGTGGGCGATGTAGCGTCGCATTGCTGGCGCGTGTCCTTTGCTCGAGCCGGCATGGATACCTTCACATGGAAAGCGCGAAGACTGGCAACCGCCCGCCGGCTTCCCCGGCGAGGCGGTTTGCAGACGTTTGAATGAGAAAGCGGACAGTTTGGCGACGCGGCAGCTTGCGCTGTTCAAGGGCGGCTTTGAGGACAAGGTGCGGCACTACAAGTTGTGTGGAGATTGGGCTGCTTTGGCGCATCGCGCCCAGCTGGAAAGGACTGCACCATATCGGGAAGCGCTTCTCGATTCCTATAATCATCCGCGTGCCCGCGCTTGCAGGTTGATCGTTGGGTTTCACGGTTTCACTGGGATGAGATGCATGCGCATTCGCGCTTGCTTGTGCATGGCCGTGCCTTCGGGCGCGGGAGAGCATCTCTTCGGAGGTGCCAGTCTGCTGTCGCGTTTCAACAACAACAACAACATGATGAATACTTCAGGAAGCTTTGGTGTCAACTAGAATTGGCTACCTTTGCCAAGTATGCAGTTCTTACCGCTTTGGATGGCACCGTGGCTGTTGTCAGCAGTCGCGGCAACTTCTTTGGTGGCTGTTCACTGGAGCATGCCGAATTATCGTGTGCCTCAAGAAATCCTCATCTCCATCACAAGCTCCTGTACCATGATGTTGCCACAGGGCTTCCTTGATTCGCAATGCGGATTTGTGGTGTCAGACGCGATTTGGAGCATGCTGCTTGGTACGATTTGGGGCATGCTGGCATCGATTCCCTACACCATCGCCTGCAGAGCCAAACTGCAAAGCCACGAGTTGATGCTGCAGCAGATGGCTTCTTTCGAATGTCGGGCAGCAGAATGCACGATAGAGGCTGACCGGATCCTCGTGGAACAGGTGGTCCAGACACTTTTCAAGTCGGAACACGAAGAAGAACCGGTGGTTCAGGCGGCATCCTCTCCTGGAACCTACGAACACCTGCAGACAGAATCGGGTGCCGATAGTAGTGTTGCATCCTGGGTGCCATCCACTACATACCAGGTCGGTTCCGAGACAACGGGGATCCTACACAACAATGTGGCCAGCCCTGGAACTGATCAGGAAGCATTGGACGCTTTCAACAGCTACATTCGTGGTCCCCTTCGTCGTGCAGTGATGGAGAGTGTCGGAAACCAGCTGCATCTGCCTTACCGCATTTGCTTGGTAGCTGCTTTGCCCCTGATCTTGTATTTCCCTGTGGATCTTCTCCAATGCGGTGACGATTGCAGGTCCCGCTATAATTACCCGTCCCTCAAGAACGTCTTCCTGTCGGAGATGCTAGCCTGGCTTGTTAACACATTTTTGGTGTTTCCCATCTTCTGTCCGATTCTTCTTCGCATGCTAAAGCATGCCTTCACCGTCCAATCACAGAAGTTACAACTTGTGTTGGCAATTCTCAGCACCGTCTTGACCTTTAGCTATGGTTTTCTGTGCGCTGGAGTGGTGGGTGGACTTGTGTAGAAGGTCTTCCAGCAAGGATTGGTGGGCTCGGTGCCTGTCTTCGCTCTGTCGGTGATCCTTCTCCTCTTTCAGCTGCGATACCTCTTCGGCACAGGCCCAGCAGTCGCAAGCACTTCGGTAAATGCTACGTACCGGGCTCTGCATGCAAAAGACGACTTCAGCATCTAGTGTTTGCATGCAAATGCCTTGCACAAGGCCTCTGCTCAAAGCGGTGCTTCATTTTCTCAATGCTTTTCTCGAGTCGGTGCGGCTATAGGCCCACTGCATTCGTGGCAATCCGATCGCATCAGAGCAGGCGTCAGATCTGAACCGGAAACAAAGCGGCCAGGGCTTAACTAATATAGGTGCCTGCATACTTTGTGAGATTGGTTCCTAAGGGTCCCCTCAGAACCATGCTAATCAGTACGGCCCTTGCATTACCTTGCGAAGGGCCTGAGACTTGACCCCCGGCCTGCGCGCAAATCCTTTAAACACCCATAAGTTCGTGAACCCGAAACCCCTATAGCTGTTGGTACGCTTGTTCCGGTTTGCTTTCACGTATCGTCGTCCCCTCGTTTGTGTTGAGCCTGATGCCTGAAGCCGTGCCAGCATTGTGCGAGTGTGCCACGAACTCCCACCTCCGCCTTTTTGGCTGGGGGGTGCAATCACATGGGAGGTTCCGAAAATTAGGGTACCTTACTTTGGGGTCCTTATAAGATGGATCCTATTATTTAGGGTATTATATTAGGGTCCCCTGTTTTCGGAAATCCCCACATGCAGACGCCCTACAGGCCCTCAAACCAAGAAACGCACCACCGCCAAGAACGTCTTCACTACCTGCTCATCATCGGACCAGGGTCGGGCTCTGAGTGTAGCCGAGAGGGCCGACGTGGAGGTAAAGATCCCTTCAAGCCTTTGGGGATTGCCTTCAGGGGCTTGTTCCCCCTTCGGTGGGGACTGCGGTTGTAGTTGGTGCTAGATTCGGAACTCGGCCTCGAAGAAGCATCTGCTTTTAGAACTGGTGCTGATGCAACCATGGGAACGAAGAATGGGATGAGGACGAGGATGCGGGCTCGATGACGAGAACGAGGATGATTGTTTTAGTGTTGTTGATGATGATGCTGTAGTGGTGATGGCGGTGGCTGATGTGATCAAGTTGGCGATGGCGCTGCAGGTCGTGAGTCGTGATGATAAAGATGATATGCATTGTCGATAGCGACTCCTCCAAAGGCATTGAGTATGGTGGTGGTGGTGGTGGTGGTGGTGGTGATGGATCGAAATTCAAGTCGAAGCCCAAGAGCCCAAGAAGGCTAATCTGAGGCAAACACGTTGCTGAGGCTGGTGGGGCGCCGTCTTCAACACGCTGGGAGGTTTGGGCTTCCTCGCCGCCTGGCGGAGTTCAGGGCGGTTTAGGATCAGGCTTCCCCAACCGTCTCATAGCTCAGTCCTGACCATCCATGCTGTGCACTTTCCTCCAAAAGCGTGGTCGAAAGGGAGAGCGAAGTGGAGAGAGACGCCGACGAAGGAAACAGACGGTGCTCATGTCCGCTCGAGGTTGGTGCTACGCTTGGCTTCGCCCCTGGCTATGACTATGCAGCGAACTTCAGCTACGGCCGCTCGGCACTCACCTGTGGCGCTTTCACTGCAGTCCAGACGACTTCTCAAGCTCTATGACCTGTATCCACCTGTGATTCTCAGCTGAAAAGCTGCTCCCGACGACAAACTTCTTGTATGACAGAATACCTAGTCTCGGATACGCTCGAGGTTGTGCGGTGTAAACCTCGAGCCCTCTGCCCGCGCTTGTGATGAAGACTCGTCTCGCTGCTCCATGCCCAGCGCACGAGAAGTCGTTCAAAGCTGTGGAGACCTGGCATCGTCAGCACGGTCTGTGTACTCTCCCTGTCTTTGTGTCTCTCTCTCTCTCTTTTTCTCTCTCGCTCGCTTTGTGTGTATCAGAACCGGATGCATACATCCATGTATGACAAGCCGCACTATGTTCCTGGGAACATCGTAAGTACACCATCTGTGCATACATGCATTCGTGTATGTGTGTAGGGTACCTAGCTGGATACTGATGCGGAAGTGGCCACATTGATGTGACACAACAAACGGAAGCTGTTGGACCCAGATATGGTGCATGTACAAGCTAACCCAGCCCCAGCTCGACGAAGGCGTCGGCTCCTTCATCTTCGCCATGGGGTAGGAGCCCCGGATGATCGTCTGAGATCAGGGTCGAGACCTGGACCGTCTAGAGCCTTGCAGTGCCGAGCAGAGTTCCGTTTAGGTTCAGGCTGCGCGCTGGGACTTATTGTCGTTGTGGGTTGTTATTCATTGCGACTTCGTCATTACTCTTTGCTGAACTCCGTGATTGCCACGCTGGTGTGCGTGTGCGTGTGCGTGTGCGTGTGTGTGTGTGTGTGTGTGGGTGGGTGTGCGCGTGCGTGTGCATATGCGTCTGCGTGTGCGCGTGTGTGTGTGTGTGTGTTTGTGGCGTTTGCAGTCCTCGGGTCTGATCCGATCTATTCGCAAGCTCTGGGCCTCGCCCAAAGCCACTCCCCAGGTCGGGCGTGCAAATCGTGATGTGGAAGGACACAGATTTTGGCGTGCGACCGGCATTCTTGGTAGGATTCTAGCACGAGATCTAAGCCAATTTATCAGCGAAGATGTTGTCGAAGCCCGTTCGGAAGCTCTCGAACTTCCGGAGTGCACCCAGCCGATTCAGCCGATGGTACCGGCTCGCAACGCATCGGGTGAGGCAAAAGGCCCGTCCAGTCTTCCCCAGGGCCGATTCCACAAACATGACTATAGAAGCTTCCTGAGGGTTCCTAACTATACTTTTCGTCTTTTTTTCATGCCCCAGAACCCTACAATCCACGCAGGACGAGCAGTTTGGCCTCACCTTCTTGGCTGTCCTCAATGATGGCCGGCCCAAGGTTCTCACAAGCCAGAGAGAGCTCGAGGAGGTCGGAGCTCGGACAAATAAGTAGAATAAATGGAGGTTTCGAAAAAGAATACATATGTTTGTAGAATATAACCGTATCTACAAAAACGTACGTACATATATATATATATATATATATGTACATTTGTAGAGCTACATGAAATACGCACGATCTCCAAACCAATCAAATCAAACAGGCCTCACCTCCAGCATCCGAGTGTGATCGTAGGAAACCCCAGTTGGGCTGTGGCGGGTGTGCACATTATCGTTAGGGATCCATAAGAGAATCTAGATCGTCATAATTCCCCATCGTATTCCGCAAACAACAGCCAACCAAGCCGTGGGCATTAGAACGTGGGGGATTGTAGGGGCCTTAAAAATTACCAGTACTGCTTTGGGGGTTCCTTAATGGGCCCCAACACCCTATTCAATTATTAAGGCCCCTACATTAGTCAAGCAGGTTGTGCCTTTCGCAGTCGCAGTCTAGCAGCATGCTCATGGCTGCAGCTCTTGGGACAGACGCTGTGCCGTTGTGTTAAGTAGCTAGGGAGCTGCGGGGCGCCAACTTGTTAAGGTCAGCATGCTTTCAGCTCTTGGTTCCTTGTTCATACACATACGAAATGGCTTCGCTGCTGCTGCTGCTGCTGCTGCTGCACGTGCTGCTGCCCTTTCTTTTGTCGGCGCTACTGCCACGGCTACTGCAGCCACAAGGGGTCGTTTTTGTTTTGACGGCGTTCTCGCAGCAGCAGTCGTTGCAGACCCTGTTGAAGCAGCCAAGGGTGTGGTATTAGTAGCAATCTTTGTGGTGTAGTCGCCGTGATGGCATGCCACGGCCGACTTCGGCTCTGGTCATGGTGGTTATTGCTCAGTATGGCACGGTAATTTTCACAGGGAGCCAGTTTCTGCACTAGTAGCTGTAGCAGGAAGGCTTTATGTGTTTTGGGCCGTTTTCAGTTCCTGCTTTTCTTTGAACAGGTGTGTAATTCGGAATAACAGCAGGAGAGAAAAGTCCGGTGACGAAGCCAACAGCGAAGTGCATTGGAGTGCTCCTTGCAGCAGGGAATAGGGAGAGTACTTCCTTTAATGATGATGAGAGTCGCAAGAGCAACCACGCAAAGGTCGTAGTTTCAGTGGTGATCAGTTCCAGAAATTCTTGCAATTTGAAGCTCGAATCAGGCTTCCACCTTCACAGTCGCTGGCACCATCTTCATCATGCCCTTGGGCAGACTGATGTGTGTTCTGGGCTTCAAGGGTCCGGGCGTGAGTTTCAATCAACTTTTGCGGGCGCGGGCCCGTTCTCTGCCATGGTTGTCTGGAACGGTTGTTAGGCTGTTCAGTGAGCCCCAACGAGCAGTGAAGCATCTGACATTTCCTTTCATGTTGCTCTTGGGACTGAGGCCTCCTCCAAGTGGTGTTGACCGGTAGCGTGCGGAACTAGAATTTGGCCACTCCAGCCACACCCCGATCCGTGGCCCTCTCTGACCAAGGATTTACTGCCTTGCATCGGCTTTGAGCGCAACTTGCTTCAAGGGTCGGCCGGAGGTGCAAGGTAGCTGTGGGTTTTTTACGGGTTTTGGGGTTGGATGGAGTGGAGAATCTGGACCGAAGTTATGGCAAGGGCAAGGCAGATTCGCGATTAGAACTGTGTTTCACAGCTTTTGCCGCTACATGACCCCAGAATCTTAAACCGGCTGCCATGTAAGAGGTAAAGAAACCCCGACGGTGACGTTTGCACACAAGTAGTGGCCGGCTCATCTTCAGAACTGTGTAGGCCAAAGAGTTCGTGCGTCTTGGAGGGTTCAGGGCACTATGTTCTCAGGATAAAGTATACGATGATATACTATACCATATCATATCGTTCTATGATTGATACATACATACATACATACATACATACATACATACATAATACATACATACATACATATGTGTATGCATGTATGTACGTACGTATGTATGTATGCATGCTAGAATGTTGAGATTTGCGGGGGTTTCACCTTGTTCAGCCCTCTCGGGCGGTACGTTGGAGGGTCTCTTACAGGTCAGGGTTTAAGGCTTGTGGTGAAGGTTTTTGTCCTGC